CGGAGACTCAATAAATCCGTTGCCAACTGGCCATGGAATGTTACAACCTGGGGACAATGGGCGGGGGTTTTAAGACCCAACTGAGCTCACCTGCATGGGATATGCCCGACGATTGGAGGGCTGCACGATGACCTTGACATTCTGCTTGACCAACTTCTGGACATGAGTGGGTCCAAAAGGAGCTCGTCGCTCCCACACCGACTGATCCTCTCGCCGAATGGCAATCACTCGACTCTGGAACAACAAAAGATTGGGGAATATAATGTACATATTTCCAAATTAATATCTTGTATACACATATGAATGTTTTTATTCATTGAGGTTGCAGTTGGGGAGTTGAATCAACTCACATGACGTTGTCTGGTGAACGGATGCGCTATTGTTGCGCGCTGTTGAATCACTCGCCACATGGTTCGGCAGCTTTGTGGGATCAGTTCGAGCAGATCAAGTGCGAATTTAATTGTAACCGTAGTGCTTTTTCGAGGCTTGAGTGGAAGATCCGATCCGTTGGCTCCGAGCTCTGGTACTCTTCTAAAGGCATCGGTAGAGGCAATCCGCGAAACAGCCTCTAATCAGCAGTTGGACCCAGTCGTAAATCCAGCGATAAGACGTGCTCTCCATGCATCTCAAAGCAGCTAAAAGAATCCAATTTTGTGCGTTAGCAGGGCAAAAAGAGCGAGCTGCTAGTGATTGTCACTTACCCGTGAGGGAATCGGGATCTCTGTTCGATTTTGGGCTGAAAATTTTCCACTTTGATAAGAGAAGTTCCTAAGAATTAAGAGAACCGTTTGGGGAAATTCCTCAAGCTCTGTTTACACAATGCAATTCTTATAAGCATTTTCGGGGAAAATTATTTCATTGAATCTCTCAAAATTATTTAAAATACTACAGGTGAACAATATTTTTAGTTTTAAAAATATCCTTTTTAATAGTCAATATGTGTCTATGCATTAGGTGTATCATTAAATAATCAACTTAAATTCAAGTTAAGATCATTTAAGCTTCTAAAAACAATGTCAAAGATTTCGAAATCATTTAAAAAGAGTCTAGAGATACAACTAATATTTTAAGTTCTTGACTTAAAACCTAGACATCATTTAGAATTGCACCTTGTAAACACCACCTTACGATGTTGGTTTTTGGTGTTAAAGCATACGTTTTATTTTAATTGCATCTTGGTTTCATAGGTTCGTCTCTGGCACAGATTTCTGTGCAGACTATAATCATTTTACTATTCACATCAAAAACAGAGTACGTTCTTAGTTATCTAAAAGTCTACAAACTATTGAGGCAGCAGTCACGATGTTGTAACTGGGCTAACACTCGGAAATAAATATACATGATTATTACAGCTAGTAAAACAAATTGTTTGTTTTTGCTACATCTTCAGGTATGCAAAACTAAAAGGAAAACGGAATAACAGTTTGATTACGGTAGGTTAGAAAGAGGAAAGCCGTAAAGCTGTAAAGCTGATTTGTGGATGGTCCAGCACGTCCCTCTGTAAAACGTACAGACCGATCCTCTAGAGCGCCGGCGCCTCAGGCAGAAGCGAGGTGAAGAAGGTGATGACAAAGGTGCGCACAACGGAAATCACAGAATTATTGGCATTTGGTGGTTCCACAGCAACGGCTTCCGCGGAAACGTCAGTCGGATCGGGATTAGCAGCGGATGCTGGAGCAACGGGAGCCCCAGCCGGAGGAGGAGCAGCAACAGGCGCATCGATTACATCTTGACCTGCAGCGGCAGCAGGTCCGGCTGCTGGCACTGCACCAGGCTCATTGGCCGCCTGAGGATCGTTGTTCTCGCGTTCAACGGCCGCATCCATCATGCGCTGAATTTGCTGCACTGCAGCAAAGGCGGCCGCATCGCCAGCATTATTGTTACGATTGATGTTGTTATTGTTCCGCTCGCGGCGACGTCGAAGGACACCAATGTGATACCTAAGAAATAATAATAATATCAATATAATTTTACTCTTTCAATTTTAAAAGGGAATACACTTACAGATAAATTGCTCCGGCGATGAGCACCACCAGTAAGCATCGCAAAGGTGAGGAGTTAAAGTACAGGACAGTCACAAAAATAGCCAATCGCGTAAAGCTAAAGAAGCTATCTAGCCAGTCGCGCATTTCCGGTTCCTCTTGAATGTTGGGGAAATTTCTGTTCTGCGGCGCCCCATTTATCTGAGGCGCAACAGGAACCTGTGCGCCCGGGTCTGCAGCTGCTCCTGCCACTGGTTGTGGCTCCCCGAAGTTTCGCACAGCAATCAGTGGGACTGTGGGCAACAGTGGTTGAGACGGTGGCGCCAAGCCAGATTCGTTTGTAGCTGACAACGTAGAGCTGTTGGTATAAATAAGATTGTTGTGCAAAAAGCATTCAGAGTAAAAGCAAGAAGAGTTCGTTTACATGGCAGCATTATGCTGCAAAACTTAATTGCGCACAATAAATTGTTCGTGAGCGCCCCAAAATTATATTATTTGTCTGTAATCGCGGCCACATAAATACTGAAATTTTGGGACGTCTGATAACCAAAAAAAGATTATAAGTAATCAAATAACAACTTTTTTTTAAAAAAGACTCGAATAATCAAGTACCTCTTAGCAGAGGGAAATATAAAGTCTATTAGCTGTCGAGCTCTGTGTAATTTGATTTCTTCGCTTCTGATATGACTGAATTGTTGGATCAAATGTGTTCTCTTAGCTTTCTGGTAATGTCCACTTACCGGAGAGTCAACTGCTGCATGTACTGCGCGTAAGCCTGCTGCATCCAGGCGTTGTAGATGAGCGCCTGCTGCTGGAACAAAGCCTGGGGACTGGCACTGGCATTGGCGGCAGCTGCTGCTCCCTGGTTCTGCTGCCAGAATTGCGTCCAGGGATTGGCCAAACCGATGTCACCCGCCACGGGAGATGCAGCGTTGCCATGCTGTGCCTGTTGCTGATGCGAGGGATGACGTTGTCGCAGCTCATTTGCATTCCCGCTCACTTCAGGCCCAGCTGGAACCGCATCTTTCTGCGGCACAGTGGCGGTTTTGTCTGGCGGCGTCATCATTTGCTTGCTGGCACATACCAAGTGAAATATGTGGTGCTGCTGGTAGACATCCTTGTAGCTGCGTATCACCTCCGATATCTTTTGCGAGTCATCTAATAGCTTGCCCGAGTAAATAAGCTTTTGATCTTGGATTTTCTATGGGAATAAAGGGTAAGAAATAGTTATAATGCTCAAAACTTAAATATCTTTCAAATAGTCGTACACAGAGGAACACTGTATCTCTAATGCCAAAATCTATTATTTGCACGCTCCAAGAGATAACATACTTGTTCTTGTCAGTTGACTCGATAGAAATAATACTTGATACCTAATAAATGAAACGTTATAATTTCTACTTGATTTGTTCTTGGAATAAATAGTGCTAATCTTTTACATCTGCTCACACCTAGGCAGAAAAAAAGAACAAAGACTCAATGATTTGGCTCCTTACTTAGTATAAATGAGTTTAATATTTGGGATGTACATAAATATGGAGCGTACATGGAGCGTGACTACGTCCAAAAATCTTATCACTTTCTAACCGTAACCAAATTAATCCCAGTTCCCAGCCATCGATTTGGCATAGACCAAGTGCATGACGCAAGTGCATGACGGCGACTGTAATTTTTAGAGGCAATCTACTGACGTGTACTTGCGACTAAGACGCAAATAGCTTTGGGAACCGACATACCTATGAATCCTAAACGAAGATGATAAACAATAACAAACTTCTCGATAAGATAAGCGGGCTCGTGGGCACAGTTAGTATGTGAGAGCAGAGGGGGGTAGCTCCTTGATTACCCACCGGTTTGCCAGGATAGATAAGAGACAGCTGCTTCTTTAGCCGCTGGACCGTCCAGCAGAGGTCGGAGTCCACATTGAGATCCTCGTACTGCTGGTTGGAGGACTTGATGAGCAGCCGGACACTGGTTTCCGGAGTCTTTTGACGGGTGGCGGCATCGCAGCCCGCGGCTGTGGCGGCTGCGGGTGGGGCGGCGTTCTCCTCCATCTGTTTGACCCCGCGAGTCGGAGAACTTTCTATTGCTAATTAATGACCGCGATACGAGGATCGGTGATGGGGTTTCGCTGCGCTAGAGGCGACACTTTTTCCGCAGCCACTGTTTCTCACTTCCTACTCAGCTTGCTGCAATTTTCGAGATGTAGTTTATTCCGAATTTGACATTAGATTTGGTATTATTTGCTATGTTGTTGCTTGCTTTTCCAGCTGTTCTGTGGTGTTTTGCTCACAGCACAGAACTATTGATTATGAAACGCAGTAAACGTTCCGCAGTTGATCAAAAAACTACTCTTCATTTGGTTCTGACATGTAGCCAGTGATGAGCGTGGGTCACGGGGCTGCCGCGAGTCGCAGGTATTTTTAAGTCGCAGGTTAAACGAACAGCTAGAAACACAATTACCGAAGTGAGTCGGCTGTGGCGATTTAAGTACAGAGTTGAAAAATATAAAAATCTTTGTTCAAACACTTGGTTTTGGGCTGTTTTAGAATTTATTTATTCGAAAACAATATCCTGTCTAGTGACTTTTAGCAGTGAATTTAGCTCATCAGTGGCAGCAACACTTGTTAATGCCATATACTCAGCAACAGGGTTGCCTTGACTTTCGGGGATGCCAACTCGCGTCATAGTGACGTGTACGAATATGTATAACATTCGAGACGTTGAACTTTAAATGAGATGACGAAACAGTTTATAAAGTGCATATGCTCCTTCATAATAAAATTATTATAATCCATCTGGCACTGTTATTGATTTCGTATTCAATACTATTTGTTGGCAATATTTTTACCAGCGCAGGCTAAAACAATTAAAATAGGAGGCTACTTTGTCAAGATTCGTTAACGTTTAAATTTTTGTGGTTGGCGTTCTAAACGTTTTCAAAACGTAGCTGACACTATGACGTGAATTATAAATTGTATACTATTCGTTTCTGATAAAAAAAAAGCAGTGAATCCGATTCTATCGTTGCCGTTTCAGGGGTCACGCACCACCTCGTGATTTGTGTGCCATCTCTAATAAAATTGCAGGCATAGTTATTTTTATCTGTTGTTTTATTTCGTAAAATAACAGCACTTCAGACATGTCCTTTCTCGCTGAACCCATAGATAACAAATCAGCCGTATCCGCTCTACAGGAATTTTGTGCCAAGACAAAGAATATTCCACCAACATATAATTTTATTGATGGCGAAGATGGAGGGTACGTCTGCAAAGTAGATCTGATGGAGCTAATGGCTTACGGAAATGGTAAATTACAAATCTCATCCACAACTTTTCTTCGAATCTTAAGCGCCACATGTTTATCCAATTATAGGGCGTTCGAAGCGCGATGCCAAGCACCTGGCCGCCGTCAATATACTGCGTAAAATCCGAAAGTTACCCGGCATGGGCAACATAATCTCGCAGGATTGCGAGACTATGACTATGGGTGATCCGGATGAGGCACTGATAAACATAAACCGGGACATGCTGAAGGCTCTGCGAGACTACTGCGTCCGCCACGAGATGCCACTGCCCAGCATTGAGGTAGTGCAGCAAAGCGGCTCCCCAAACGCCCCAGAATTTGTGGCCTGTTGCTCCGTGGCTTCCATAGTTCGGTACGGAAAGTCGGACAAAAAGAAGGATGCGCGACAGCGAGCAGCTATCGAAATGCTAGCCGTAATCTCCAAAGAAGCGGACAATTTGCGTCCGGGTCAAATGGAAGTTGTGAGCACCAAGAAATCGGAAGGTCTTGACTTGGATGAAACGCTTGAGGAATTGGAGGCGTTGCGCAGAAAGAAGTTCAACACCTACGTAGAGTTGACAGAAGCCGGAGCCATAGATCATTCGGGCCTGCGCCTCTGCGACCGGCACAACTACTTCAAGAACTTCTACCCTGCCCTGAAGTGTGCGGCGCTTGAGGCCATCCGTTCAGATGAATTCATGACCTCTAAGGATAAGGCTTTGAGTGTAATGAGCGCTTTAAAGATAACACCAAAAATTAGTGTACTAAAGTCTTTATCGGTGGTACCAATGCTTTGCGTCGAGCTTAATTGTGACTTAGACGTGGTCTTTGCAGCGCTTGAGACTAATATCTACGACCAAATAATAGACTATTTCAGTACCATGTTGGTCTAATGCATTGTATCCAATACGTATATACATATGTGGTATATATAACATTTATTTAACTAGGTTGGCTTAAAACTAAGTAAACTTCTTCATATTTACACTGCAGAATGCACATAAGTCATATATTACGTTTAATACAAACTCCACCAATTCTGTGGGTGTAAACATCAAAAAATGGATTTCTTCAAGGTCTTTTGGTAAACGTCTGTGTTAACTTTGTACAGGATTGATAGGTGTGAAAATTGCAAGCAAATCACAAAGGGGATTGGGAACAACAACAAAAGCTTAAAACCAACTTTCGAGACGGTGTAACATAATGATTTTATTATTTATTTTTCGATGCCAATACCAATGCTTATTAAATATTTAAACGGCCCAAGCTTATGGTTTTCAACAACTGATAATATAACACTTTTGAAGTAATTTGCACAGTATTGCACATTCAAAATAAAAATCTGTACATTTGTTATTAAAAAGATGCAAGTCATAGAAGATTGCTTAATTAAATTATTAAAAAAAAATATATGCATTCCTTTTGTTTACAAGTATAATTTTTATTCGAATAAAGGTTATTCATTCTAAAATAAACGGTGATAATATATTCATATAAATTCTCGTAGTCTTCAGCAGTTTTGGTTTTATTTCTACAATACAATGAAAAAATGAAAACTAAGCATTCCTCTTAAAAACTTTTAACAATATATTAACAATTTCAATGTCCAATTGTTAAAAGAATGCAATATTTAATTCACAAAATGCTAACAATTGCTTGGCTTTACATGGGTTTTATAATTTTAGTACAATATGTTAAATTACCATCCATAACAATTTGAAAAATTTTCCTACAAAAATGTAAGTGTATAAATAAGATTGTTATTACAAATAATTTCCTATTCAATCACCAAATTTGATTGCATTACATTCGCCACAACCGGGCGAAATTGCGGATCTCATCGGGAAACGTTTAATTTACTAGTCAAAATAATATCTACATAACTAAAGAAAAAGAGGATAGGTGAGTTCAGTAGCTAATCTTCTTGCGCAGCTTGAGATTGGATTGCTGATGGTCCAGGGACTGTTGTTGCTGTCGCTCTCGATCCCTTTCGCTGGACACCCGACTCACGCCGCGCGCCAGGTGCTGATGCCACTGGCTGGAGGAGGGCGGCGCCGTGGGCGTGGGAATCCCCGAATTTGAGGCGGACGTCGATGCTGAGGAACCGGACTCTCCGAAAAGGCGTCGGGAAAGCTTGAAGCTTCCGCTGTTGCTGCTACTGCAGCTGTTGTACTTGCAATTGTTGTTCATGTTACTGGTGGTGGAGGCTGAGTTTGTGGCGGGGGTGGCGTTGATGGATGTGCTGTTGGCTCCCACTGCTGCTATTCCAGCTGATGCTGCAGTGGCCGCTGCTGCAGCTGCAGCCGCCGTCTTCCTCAACAGCTTCGTGTTGTACTCATCGCTCTTGTCCTTGTCCAGTCGCGTGGAGCTCAGCGATCGTTTGTTTCGCTTGGCCGACCCAGCCACCAGGCCGTGCTCGATGATCGCCTGCAATTCGGCACTGCCACGCCCACTAAGCCGGCTTGTGTCTGCAGGATTGGAGGAGGGAGGAGGAGTGGTAGTTGGATTATTGTTGAGGCTGGTTAACTTGGTTTTCGGCAGCGGATTGGAGTTGAGATCGAGCGTGGCGGATGCGGAGCGTGTGGCAATGTTAAAGGAGGCGGAAGAGGACGACCCACCCAAAACACCGATTGTGGGTATGGCCGATACGTCCCGGTAATACCGAGCCGTGGCCACAGTGCACGGTTGGGTTTGGGCAGCTGCCGGAGCCGTTTCTCCGGCATTGGGACGCTGGTATCGGATCCGAGATCTCCCCCGAAGCGTCATGTGGTGATGGGAAGTGCGCGCAGCACTGCCCCGGGTGGGCGGAATGGTGGCCGAGCTGCCGGCACCACCACCTCCACTGGATACCACGGGTATCTTGCTCTCATTAATGGTGGCGTATTGGCGGAGCAGTTGTTTCTCCACCGGCAGCAACGGTTGCTCCTGCTGCAGCTGCAGCTGCTGCTGTTCCGCCTTTCGCAGATGCTTCAGCTCCATTCTAAAGGAGCAGGAAGCAAGAAGCGAACAAAGATTGGGACGAAAAAGGACGAGAGAAGAGAAAGAGAGAGAGAGAGAGATGGTGTACGGGGTTACGGGTTCAGTGTGATTCCCAAAACAGTCTTACAAAAAAAATCAAGGCAATACTCCGGAGTCCGAAGATTTTACATCTTTGCAGAGCGAAGTCATACGAAATAGTATCGTTTTACATATATATATATCTTTTTTTAACTTAGCGATATAAAAATTCTTAATAAATAATGAAAATATTCTCTGCAAGGATATATCTTAAATCTAGAAAATACACTCCATACTCCTCGTAAATTTCAATTAAAGAACAACAAATAAAAGCAACAAAAACAAGGCCAAACAAAGACAAAACAATTTCGCAAGCTTGTAGCATAATTTCGAAAATTTGTGGTTTATTAATAATCATTTTGCGCAACAATAAATACTTTTGTTAAGTACAAAAAAATGGGGAAAAAACAGCCGCACACGGAACGAAATCAAACCCAATACTTCGTCGGTTAGTTTTTAAGTTCAATAATCATTTTGGGATTCGGGGGGCATTATCTGTACTTACCTTTTGCTATACAGCGCCAGGCTGCGGGTGCGACTGCTCCCCGAACTGGCCAGAATATTGTTAGTGGTATTGTTGTTGTTGTTATAGTTATTCAGGGAGTTGCTTAGATTACTGCTGTTGTTGTTATTATTGCTGCTGCTGCTAGTCCCAATGCCGCTGTCATTATTGTTGTTCAGATTGTTGGCCAAAAGTGCGGCCGTCCCTGTGCCAGTTGGCAAGCAGGAGGATGTGGGCTTTAAGGCAGCCACCGCTGTGCTTCCGACCACTCCATTGTTATTATTGCGGAATGGCTGGGAACGAGCTCTCGTGTGCCTCAGATTCGATTCCTGTTCGCTGCTGATACAAATATATCATCGTAATCAAGCAAGAGAAACTTTGTAATAAAAACAAAAATAATACACGCAGATGCACTTGATCTTCTAGGTAGTTCAGGAAGTGATTGAAGTGTCATCTGGGTGGATTTTGTAAATCAGACATCCTACCTGTTGCTGTTCACATTAACGGATCGCGAGTGGTGCCTTCGCAGCGCCTTGATCTGATTCAGCTTGTCACCCTGCGTCTGGGCCTGCTTCTTCTCCAGCGCAGTTTGCGTCATCCTGACGGTGGAAGCAATCGTGTGTCGGGCTGCCTCGAAGACACTTGGCTTGCGCAACTTCTTCTCCGTGCAGCTGGCCACCTCAGGAGTTGGATAAACTCCAGATGACGTACTCAATCCACTTCTATTGGCATTGGGATTAACCAGACGCCTTAGAGATGTGGCTATTACAGTCGGCTTGTTCGCGCCTGATGGAGATTTTCTACGCCGTGTGGACATTGTATAGCTGGAGGTAGGCGGCGGATCTGCTGGTGCACTGATCGTGTCGGTATCGTTGTCATCGCTATTATTGCAATTGGGATCCTCAGCAGATTGATAAAGCGCTCTCTCGTCCCTCTCCAATCGCATCTGCTCCGAGAGTTCCTCATCCGTTTGATCCGTACAAGCAGCATCCAAGTTGTCCTGGTCATTCAGGTGCATCGTATCCACTCGCTGAGAAATGCCCTTTACTCGGGTTAGAAGCATATCCACGTGCTCCGCGGAATCGGCGGTAGCCGAGGCCAGTTTGGTCTTCAGCTCCAGGCTGTTGATTCCGTACGTATGCTGGAGGATGGGAAGCGAAGTGCGCCGGCGCATTCGTTCGCCCTCTGACCACAGCCAGCTTTGTTTGCTAAAAAGTAGGACAAATTTGTAATCCTGTGGGTAAGAAAATATGTACTAAGAAATACGTACTCTTCCATCCACTGCTGTTGATGTCCAATGACCGATCCCGGCCGGCAGAGCCTTAACCAGGCTATTGCCTCCAGGGCAGTGAACCCGTAATGCTTCATGATGTATGCCCCTATCAGGCTGCCAGTGCGTCCCAAGCCCGCTTTACAGTGAACTGCAATGGCTCCCTTGGTCGTTTCGCAAATGCAGAGGAACTTCTTCATAATGGCATCGCTTGGCGTGCTACCATCGATAAAGAACAGATCCTTGTGATCGAAGCCAGCGTTCTCAAAGGACGATGCGTGATAGACTTTTGCATTCAGCCGAATCACTGTTGTGACATTATTATCCCGGAAATAGCTGAAGTAACGCTCGGGTGCATGGCACGGATATCCATTGGGAAGCGTCTTACTCTTCTGATGGGGTCCACAAAACGCTATAAACTTCTGGGGCACAATCCAGTTGAAGTCGCCGTTCTCAACGCGCTCGAAATACTCATACTCCTCAGCATCAAAGTCGTTGAAATTAAAGAATCCCGCCTGCAGGCCTTTGTGCACAGCATTCAGGCAGTCCAGCAACGAAATCTTAAAGTTGCTGGGTCCGTAGCTGGCATCACAGAAGCGCGTGTAGGCAGGAATCTCGCCGGCGACAAGCGGCCGATACGCCTCCTGGGGCGTCTTATTAAGGTAGATAATCTGGAAACGTAGTCAAATAATATTATTCACATTTTTGTGAGTTCTTGAACGATTGAAAGAGTTAACAGATCTCTTTCAAATGTCCACCGAAATCAAAATCACATTTTCAGGAGCACTTACTGCATACGAACCAATCAGATAGGCGGCGTTGAGTCGCTTGGCCGGATTCATGGAGGTGTAGTGAACTATCTTTTTATTGGCATGGCACTTGGCATTCAGCTTGGTGTTCAGTTTCATGCAGTATCTGTAGAGCATGCATATGTTGAGTGGACCAAAGTCGTTGTAGAAGTTCTCATAAACAAATTCCTCATCGACGCTGAAGTAGTGGGTGTTAACCGTGTTCTTTGGCTTGATGTTCTTCTTGAAGGCCACAAAGTACAAACGGTCTGCAAACAGTATAGAATAATGCACATCACTCAATGTCGCACTGTTGAAAGTTCATTGAGCTCTCACCTTCCTGCATCTCCGATGCACAGACCAGCAAATCCGAGTTGTCATCGTCCAACATCTTGGCTGACTATCAGAGCACGGGAGACGTCGACGACTGTTTGGTGACTGCAAAGACATTGAGGAAAATACATTTATAACGGCTTTGATATCTTCGGACAGCGGCGAAACTCTCGGCAGGCGATTTAAATCACTTCTGTCTAGCCCACACACATTGGCATTAAAGCTTCCGCAAGGTATTGCTTATTAACAAATACCTATTGATTTTCCACACCAAGAGTATTTTAGATTATTATTTAAACTTTTTGAATACTGTT